AAATACATAATACATATATACATATATACATACATACATAAATACATAAATACATAAATACATAAATACATATATACATATATACATAAATACATAAATACATAAATACATAAAGATTTTAATCTTTGTACTTTTTACACTGCAATAAAGAACAACTAAGGGTTTTTTGGCTTATTTGTTCAGGATTCTTTCATCAAAGAGAAATATTTTGGCCTGAAATATACTTAACAGTTGCTTCACAAAACTTTTATCATAAAAATTAACTTAACTTTTTTTACTAAAAAACCTGTGTAAAATTGTAAATTCATGAAGATATATTAACCCTTGGATAAAATGCTATCTCCTAATTTGCATATCAGACAGGTACACTTCTCTACCTACACACTTTTTATTATAGAGTTTCATAATAAAATTATCAAAGTACGTTATCAAAATTCTAGCAATCGGAAAATATTTGGAAAAACTTATTTTTAAAAATAAAATGTTTCTGAATTTTTGATTGGTTGGATTTCTTGAGGTTTAGACGTCTCAACTCTAAACCTTTAAAGACGTTTTGTCAAGAGAACTAAGGACAGGGGTTTATCGGAACTAAGAAATCAGCTGATTCTAGTGCTACAAATAGTTCCCATGAACCTTACATGGTTTCAAAGATGAATGAGAGATGAAGTTATCCTAAAATAAAGTTAATTTAAAATCATGAATGTTGTAAACCTAAATATAATTGTCTCGGCCTGGAATATGCCTAGTTGCCTAACTGCCTATTTCTCTGGTATAAATGGGCATTTCTGCCTCCCAAGCTTCTAGCGGATTTACTGCCATAGGCAGTCTCTCACACTCATAAGTAAAAGGGGATTTCAAACCCTCAAAAAAAAAAAAAAATCAAAATTTTTTCTTTTTCAACGAAACATTTTAGTTATGAGTTAAAAAAAACTAGTCTATTTCATTATCCCTTACGGGCCCAAAAAGGCATAATTTTCATAACTCTGGAAATTGCTACCAATTATATAAATATAAATATTTGCAAAAAGACCCATTTGCACAAATTGTAATTCTTAAACCACTCTCTGAGATTTTTCAACCGTTGTTATTTTTTCAACATTTTGGTAATTAATCAAGAGCTTTTTTAAGATAAAACTTTTGCTTCGAAACCGCGCCGCGCCGAAACTTTTTCTTCAGAATAAATTTTGAGTTTTATCTTTAGTTTAATATTGTAGGTAGAACAGTCAAGATATGAGGGCGAGGGGACAGCTATAAGACAGAACTAAAGATAGAGAATTAGATACGGGATCAAATTCATAATTATGAATTAAATTAATTTTTAGTAAAAAGCAAATTCGTTCTCGGCGTTTGTCAAGTAGACAAGAAGTGGAGTGGAGAAGGGGGAGGAGGGGGGGGGGGGGCTAGATTTAAAACAAAACAAAAGATGAATAACTGGAACTGTTAGCGACAAGACAAGAACTAGGACTGGTGGAGATATTTAGAGTTAAATATATTGAGAAAAAAGACTGAGATAAATGAAGGTTGAATTATATCCCCTTGAATTGGGTTTACTAGTTTACTGTTTTACAATCACCAATTCCCTTAAAACTGTCAAACAAAGGTCAGGTTGTCGACTAAACTAAACTCGAAAATCTCCCAAAAATCTGGAACTTTTTGGGCCCTGACAATTTGTAGCAGAATTTAGAACCATCAATTCAGTTGACGGGAGAGGGGGGGGGTATGACCCCCTACTAGGAATCCCGCATTTTTAACCATTTTGTAAAATTTTATCTCTAAAAAATGCCCATCTTCCGAAACCTTTTTGGTTAAAGTGATTTTTCAAGTTCTTAGAAGCCATGTTTAGTTGGGGGAGGGGGGGGGTCGATACGGTAGCTAAAATATTGTCTTAAAGAGCGTAGGCGTCGTAAAAATTAAGCGATACTTCAAATACGTAGATAATTGACGCTTTCATATATTTACGCATGTTTCTAAAATCCTAATTACATAATTATTTTAAGTTTCAGGGAAAACTGTCCTTACTCGTATATCTAGCTGCCTTCAAGGGGTATTTAGGTCATAATATACTTACATATTTAGTTTTAGTACAGCTTATACCTTCCTTTCCTATAGATCTTACCTTCCTTTCCAAGATCTTACCTTCTTTTCCTAGGTCTTACCTTCCTTTCCTAGATCTCACCTTCCTTTCCTAGATCTTACCATCTTTTAGGTCTTACCTCCCTTTCCTAGATCTTACCTTCCTTTCCTAGATCTTACCTTCCTTTCCTAGATCTTACCCTCCTTTCCTAGATCTTACCCTCCTTTCCTAGGTCTTACCCTCCTTTCCTAGATCTTACCTTCCTTTCCTAGGTCTTACCTCCCTTTCCTAGATCTTACCTTCCTTTCCTAGATCTTACCCTCCTTTCCTAGATCTTACCTTTTTTTCCTAGTTCTTACCTTCCTTTCCTAAATCTTACTTTAATTTCCAGATATATTTCCTAGATAAACAGGCGTGTGCAACATACGACTTAGACCGTAAAAAAATCAATTTAATTTCAAACAAATCAGTCAGATATTACAACCAGTGGCGTACATAGGGGGGGGGGGCAGTAGTCATCTTGTCCCTCATCTTCAAAGGGGTGTCGTGTTTTCCCACTTAAAAGTAGTTGAACATCTTCTTAGCTAAATGCATTATGCAAATATTTGGCATGTCTTCCCGCAACCCCCATGAAGGTCAGGGGGAGATTACATTAGGAGAGGATTAAGGGAGAATAAAGAGGACAGAAGACTAATGATAATCTTCAAGAGACTTCTCAGGACTTGAGAGAGTAATGCAACAGCAGCACTATACAGAGGGATACATAATATATAGTCCTTTGAATCAGGACTACAGTGGACTACAAAGGGGAGTAGTCTCAGGAGACTATTCAGGGCTTCAGAGAGTAATACAGAACTATAGCCCTTGAATTGGGACTACAATGGGCTACTTAGGGGACATTTAGTAGATTTAATGTAGAATAACAGCATTTTTAAGACTGGGGGGCGGAAACATCGCCTTGGGGAAGGGAGACAAAAGACAAATTTTGCGCTTCGCACCAAAATTCCCCCCTGGCTAAAATCCTGTGTACGCGCCTGTTAAGGTTAACTATTTATATATAAGACATTAGAGCAAATTGCCATTATAGAACAAATGGTAAAAATGTCCTTTTTTACTTAACTCTTTATTTTTACTTTCTTTTCTGTTCTGTGTTCTTTTTTGTATTATTCAACTTCTTTGTATTATTCTTAGTCTTTGTATTATTCCTGGTCTTTATATTATTCCTGTTCTTTGCATTATTCCTTTTCTTTGTATTATTCCTGTTCTTTGTATTATTTCTGTTCTTTTTATTATTCCTGTTCTTTGTATTATTTCTGTCCTTTGTATTATTCCTGTTCTTTGTATTATTCCTGTTCTTTTTATTATTCCTGTTCTTTGCATTATTCCTGTTCTTTTTACTATTCCTGTTCTTTGCATTATTCCTGTTCGTTGTATTATTCTTGTTCTTTTTATTATTCCTATTTTTTTGTATTATTCCTGTTCTTTGAATTATTCCTGTTATTTGTACTTTTCCTGTTCTTTGTATTATTCCTGTTCTTTTTATTGTTTCTGTTCTCTATATTTGAATGCAGTTTCTCTTTTAAAATTCTGCATTTTTGTCTCTATTCCTTCATTTTGTACTTTACTCTTCTTGAAATGAATTAATAAGATAACCCCTGAATACAGTTTTATTAGAACTAATCCCCCACTAAACCCTGAGCTGCAACATCCTGCACCTTGGTGTGGACACTTTAGGGAGGGATCAAACACAGTTTAGAAAACAAAAGTTTCAGAATAATTGTATTTTTAAAATTTAAACATTAATAATTAATCTATTGGAAATGAAAACTCCCTAGAGAATAAAATAATTGATATCTCCTAATAACTACATTTTTGAAACAATTTCAGACTCAAAGCTCTTGGAATGAAGTGCTGTGTAAACATTCATGGTTATACTACAGCCTCATAAATATGACAAAAATATGACAGAAATGAAACGTTTATAATAAAACAATAAATAAATCACTTTTAGAAATAAATATTGATATTTCCCAGGCTATAGTTCAATTCGGAAGTAAGGTCTGATATTGTAGAGGTCTTACTTCCCCCCTTCGGCCTTCCCTTCCCCCTACCCCTTCCCTCCCCGCTACTCCTTCCCTCTCCCTTCCCTCCCTATGTTGCTCTGAGCATGATGATTTTTTTGGATGAAATTTTCACACTGGATTATGATAGACAGTGGCCGGGCTATGAAGGATAATAGCGATCAATCCTTTTCACATTCCAAAAATCAGCATAGTTTGATAAGAAAAATTCTTGATTTGCGTCGATCTTCTATTTGATACATTGTTCGTTTTAAGAGAATTTAAGCCAACTCATGTTTTTAACTATGAAGGGGAGGGGAGAATACCCCCCCCCCCAGGTAAAAAAACATTTTCTAAGAATACAACGACGATTTGTGAATTTGTTCTCAAAGTACCTCCGTCTATTGTATGTATATCTCTGTTCAATATCTTCTATATTTCTCAAATCACACCAAATCTATTTAAGGCCCTAAAAAGGGGGTTTGAAAGATGATACAATGACAAGAAAAGGATGATTTTTCACCCCCTCTCACCACTCTGTCAGTTACCCATTTGTAGATATTTTTCAAAAAGCATGATATGGTTTTTTCCCTGTCAATTGTAACGTTAAATTATGGAGTTCTCTTCAAGATTTACCGACTTTTCTATTTATTCTAGTATCTTCCATCAAAACGCATTGCTGGGGTCTCTCTCTATGTGTGTTAAACTTATTGAAAACGATGAGTCTATTTTATCGACATTAATTGCAAAATGTTGTCTCTTTAACTGTAAAATCTTATTTTTACCCCTCAATTCTTCCCTCCCTATACACAATACGAATATCGAAATAATTTCGGTAGATTTTAATATTTTAAAATATTTTTCAGGTGAAATGGGAAAAGGATTGTAGAGCCCTGAAATGATTATCTGTGTTTGATTCCTCTCCCTTTGTTGTGGATTTGGTGCCCCTGACATGCCTGACACTGCTGTAGCCCCACCGCCCCCCTTACAGGGGTCTCGAGGGGCACGAGGGGGCCCGGTGAATATGCCCCTGATGAGGGATCCAGATCATTATGAAGAAATCAACGTTATTGGAAATGGTAATTTTTATTTATATTAATCTATTTATCAAAAATTAAACTTTTTTAAACTTCTGGTTAAAGTAGATAAGACAGTGAAAATTAAACGTTTAAATTTATTTTAATTTTTTTTTATAAACTTTTGTATTACCCTCTCTCGGCCCTCCCTGTTCAGAAAATACGTAGTAAAAATGTAAAATTCAAATTATTCAAAGCGTGGTTATTTATAAAATAAGTTTGATGGTTAGGAAAATTTAGTTAAAGAAAATTCATTAAACTTCTTTCAAAACATTTTTGACAATAATTAAACCAGGTTTAACATTTTTAAGATTCCAATTTCAAACCTATTTTTATAAATCAGTATCACATAGAAATATTACAGTGTATAGTTCGTAATGATCCAGTGTGTACAGTGTACACTGTACAGTGTACAGTGTACACTACAAAGAGGATCCAGTTAATTGTGTACAAATAAAAATGTACTGTAATAAACAAAACATTTGGTTTAACACTATGTTTGTTTACAATTTTGATGCGTTAACATGCTACATAGTAGTTAGAATTCATTCGAGCCTACGAAAGTATGTATTCTGAGCTGAAAACTTTAGAATTGTGGATATCGAGATCAATGCGGAATTTTCTCTTTAAGTTAATTTCAAGATTAAATTAATGTTAAGTTTGTATCTACAACAGTGTTTAAAACTTAAACAAATCGAGTGCGGTTTGGAGAAACCAGAACTATCATTGGTCGGAAACTAGCAGGGAGAGAAAAAGAAAGAAAAAGAGGGGATTAAGAAGGAAATTGATAGTGTACACATTGGATATTCAGATTAAGCGATCGGGATTAAAGGTATCCAATTCTAAAGTTTTCAGCTCTGTTAGAATAATAATGTTAAATCTAAAAGTCGAGTTTAGCATGTTTTCAAATAAATTTTTTTCTTTCTAGTTCTCATTGCCATCCTTTGGAGTTGTGGTCAGTATTTTATCTTTTTGTTGTTATCTCTTTTTATGACTTGAAATTTCTTGGTTGTTCTCTCTAATTGTTATTTACATTGGATAACATCTACTAACCTCATTACAATTAATTGGGACAGGCATAATTTGAATAAAGATAGATAAGGAGTCTGCAAGGGAAAATTTAGCATTTAACATGTTTAGGGTTTCAAACTAAGAATCAGACTTCAGAGACGACTCTACGGAATTAATACAGTCTGTTTAATCATATTCATAATTCCCTAAACCTGGAAACTAGTTTTCTTCTTTTCCAAATCAATTGACAAGCCATAAATGACTAAATTTAAGGAAGACTTAATTTTTCCTTAATCTTCATATCTTCAGAGTTTCCAGTCGTCTTCACAGTCTCATCCTTTGTCGGTAACCCTGTAGATTTCTACTTTATTGCTACAAGATTTTTACAATACTGCTACACTATTGCCAAAAATTGCTACAATCCTAATGAATAAGAACCAAGAAAAAAAGCAGATCTCCTCACCAAGTCAAAGAAGATTTTTCATCTGAATGTATTCAAAGGTTTCATCTGAATGTATTCGAAGGTTTCATCTGAATGTATCCGTATATTTCATCCGAAGATCGAAGATTTGAAGCAAATAAGAAGGAGAAAGAAAAGAGAAGAAAATATTATTCTTTCTTGAACCCGCGTCTATTATTGGTCAAACTCGTATATACCGAACTGACAAGTGATAGACGTGTGTTTCAGGGTAGACACATCAACTGACTCAACATATTTTTGACAAGATTCCCGAACTGGAATTGAGAAAAAAGATCCTCTTCTGTTGCCAACCTTTCTAACCTATAGAGAAGTTTTTATTTGTTAATTTATTAAAGACGATTTGGCGCCAATTTCGTCGCCGCCATTGTTCTATTGGACCAGCTTATCTTTACTTAGTTAAAATATTCATACTTTGGATTTATTTAAGAGAATGTAAATGTAATAGTTGGCACGTCCGATTTACAAAGGTACCCTTAAGAGATTGTATATGATCAAACTTAAGTAAGTTAAAATAGTGTATTCCCTTCTAAGTGACTAGCGAATTTATACCATACCAAAAAATGGAAATTGTGTAACGACGATATCTTCTAAAACTGTTTATCAGATGAAGTGGAAATTGTAAACCGTTGTGAATCGGTGATTGCCATTAAAGTTAAGGTTCACTGTCTCTTTAAATTATTTATGAAGTTTAATATTATCTGTCTGTTTAAGAAAACAGCTGGAGGGAATTTGACCACAATATCTAGATGATAAAAAGATGAAAAAGTCTACGACGTCAGAATTTCCGATAAGAGACCCCCCCCCCCCTCCCCGTACTCTGTATTGTTCTTGTTTCTCCTGACTACAAAAAAATGTTGACTAAAAAGCAAGGTGTAAACTAGAAGATGATTTATGTTTCGTCTAATTACTGATTAAACTCTCTGTTTACTAATCAATCATTTTTGACAAGAGCACCACGTGCCATCATTAAACAGACAGATAAAGCATCAAATGTAATCTTAGTTTTTATATTGTATAAAACTGTTATTTATAAAAATGTTGATTTTCTGTTTTTTCCTAAAATGTCGAGTTGAGAAATTTGTTCAATATCCTAGGGTTGTAATTAGTATTCTAGTTGCGGGGGTAATTAGTCTGATAATTAATCTGCTTTAATTAGTTTCATGCACTTCCAGCTCATTAATCCAGGATACGTGTCAATAACACCCATCCCTTGTAAATAAACGTAATAAATAAAATAGAACCCGGACCCCCTTCCCCGTCATATTATCATATTGTTTTTGTGACATACTGAGTCGTCTTATACTTCATGTTTTAATTTAGAAACAATGATATAAAATTATCCTAGTCCTGGGATTTCCAAATTGTTGCCTGCCTTTTTCTGCTGTCAATATTACCGTTCTGATTTCAATTTTATTATTCTTAATATCTCCGGTAAAATTGAACGCACAAAAAAGGCAGACCACATTTTAGAAATGCCAAGACTAGGGGTATCACGGTTTATCAAGTTTATCAAAACTAAGTTTACGAATATGTTGCAAAATATTTCAAAGACTACCTTCAAGTTGTCTTGCTACCCTCAGGTTGTGATTAAATCTTAGGAACAGGAACTTAATATTCTGTAAATAATCTTGAACTGTACATAATTTTAGGAGCGTACGGTACGGTGTACAAGGCCCGAGATACTATCAATGATACAATCGTAGCGATTAAGAAGGTTAAACTTGGACTAACTGAGGATGGAGTCCCCATGCAGGTCTTATTTTTTACATTTTTTTAATTTGAATTTTAACAATATTTTATATTTTTTACATTTTTTTAATTTGAATTTTAACAATATTTTATATTTTTACATTTTTTAATTTGAATTTTTTTTAATTTGAATTTTAACAAAATTTTATATTTTTAACATTTTTTTAATTTGAATTTAACAATATCATATTTTTTTACATTTTTTTAATTTGAATTTTAACATCTCAGGTCCTTCGTGAAATATCTTTATTGAAACAGCTTGGAAAAGCCAACCACCCAAATATTGTCAGGTATAAAACCACCCGAATATTGCCAGGTATAAAACTACCTAAATATTGTCAGGTATAAAACCACCCAAATATTGTCAGGTATAAAACTACCTAAATATTGTCAGGTATAAAACCACCCAAATATTGTCGGGTATAAAACTACCCAAATATTGTCGGGTATAAAACCACCCGAATATTGTCAGGTATAAAACTACCTAAATATTGTCAGGTATAAAACCACCCGAATATTGTCAGGTATAAAACCACCCGAATATTGTCAGATATAAAACCACCCGAATATTGTCGGGTATAAAAACTACCTAAATATTGTCAGATATAAAACCACCCAAATATTGTCGGGAATAAAACTACCCAAATATTGTCAGGTATAAAACCACCCGAATATTGTCAGGTATAAAACTACCTAAATATTGTCAGGTATAAAACCACCCAAATATTGTCGGGTATAAAACTACCTAAATATTGTCAGGTATAAAACCACCCAAATATTGTCATGTATAAAACTACCCAAATATTGTCGGGTATAAAACCACCCGAATATTGTCAGGTATAAAACCACCCAAATATTGTCAGGTATAAAACTCCACCCGAATATTGTCTGGTAGTCAGGTATAAATCCACCCGAATATTGTCTGGTATAAAACCACCCAAATATTGTCAGGTATAAAACTACCCAAATATTGTCGGGAATAAAACCACCCGAATATTGTCGGGTATAAAACTACCTAAATATTGTGGGGAATAAAACTACCCAAATATTGTCGGATATAAAACCACCCGAATATTGTCAGGTTTAAAACTACCTAAATATTGCCAGGTATAAAACCACCCGAATATTGTCAGGTATAAAACTACCTAAATATTTTCAGGAATAAAACAACCCGAATATTGTCAGGTATAAAACCACCCGAATATTGTCGGGTATAAAACCACCTAAATATTGTCGGGTATAAAACCACCCGAATATTGTCAGGTATAAAACCACCCAAATATTGTCGGGTATAAAACCACCCGAATATTGTCAGGTATAAAACTACCCAAATATTGTCAGGTATAAAACCACCCAAATATTGTCAGGATAAAACCACCCGAATATTGTCAGGTATAAAACTACCTAAATATTGTCGGGTATAAAACCACCCGAATATTGTCAGGCATAAAACTACCTAAATATTGTCAGGTATAAAACCACCCAAATATTGTCGGGTATAAAACCACCCGAATGTTGTCAGGTATAAAACTACCCAAATATTGTCAGATATAAAACCACCCAAATATTGTCAGGATAAAACCACCCAAATATTGTCAGATATAAAACCACCCAAATATTGTCAGGATAAAACCACCCGAATATTGTCAGGTATAAAACCACCCGAATATTGTCAGGCATAAAACCACCTAAATATTGTCGGGTATAAAACCACCCGAATATTGTCAGGTATAAAACCACCCAAATATTGTCAGGATAAAACCACCCGAATATTGTCAGGTATAAAACACTCAATACTACCGCAAAACAAATAATTCCATTGAATGGCCGGCTCCGTGTCTCCATCCTTGTATGCGGTTCTCAACCGGCTCCGTGTCTCCATACATCAAACAATTTTTACTCGCTTATCTCAATGCTCGAAAAACTGAATAATTCATGAAAAATATTTCATTTTAGATTGTTGGATATTTGCCATGGACAAAGACTGGATCGAGAGATGGTCTTGTATCTAGTGTTTGAACACGTAGATCAGGTTTAAATTAAAATTTAATGTTTATTTAAATTTGATTTAAAATCTTTTTTATGCCAATTAGTTTTTTGTAACTTGTCAATATAAAATTAAAATACATTAAATCCTGATATTTTCATTGCAACCCTGAAACCCTTTGACAAACATTACCGACCCATAATTCCCCCAACATAGGGACATTAATTGTTACTTAAAATCCCTTGGGACAATTAAGTAAAATAACGACCCGCTCTGCGAAGTCTTCGTGAAAAATTCTCACATTTTCATCTCGGAAAAACGATCAAATTGTGAAAAACTACTCTTTCGGGAAATTAAAAATTTTATTTAAGCCAAGAAAACATCCCTTGCTGTGCTCTGGATGTTTAGTAATTAAAATTGGTCTTGGGAACCCTGAACTTCCCTGTAAAGTAGTTGTAAATAGTTATATGTTTTGTAGAAATCCAAACTAGATTTGATTTTTTTTATTAGGATTTGAACTCTTATATAGAAAAGTGTCCTGCCCCTGGTTTAGGACCGGATAGAATTAAGGTATAAATTTATTTATTTTTACAACCCTGTTCCCAATCAACCATTAAGAAATAATAATTTGTTTTTAATCAAGAAAAATATTGGAATATTTGGAAAAATATGGGAAAAACCCATAACTATTAATACAAACTTATCTGGCAAATATTAATATTCAGGATATTATCTGGCAAATATTAAATATTTAGGATACTATCTGGCAAATATTAAATGTTCAGGATATTATCTGGCAAATATTAATATTTAGGATATTATCTGGCAAATATTAATATTCAGGATATTATCTGGCAAATATTAATANTATTATATACGCGGTAATTGTACATCAGACAAATATTCCTTATTCAAATGGAGTACCGTCTGCAAAGCATGTATAATCATATGGTAGGGCGAACCGCGTCAGTTGTATCTCCCTTCTATTCCTTACTCCCTGGCTTCATAGCTGTTATAGTTGAGTGAACCTTAAATTTGTTGGGCAATTTTTTGAATCTATTCATGGTGTATCTATGGTTTCAATCCGAACAAATTTTCACTTTGGCTATTGTTTATTCTATATAAAAATTATTTGTACTTGAAAAAAGTTTGAAGTTCAGGGACCAAATTAGAGATACCTTTGGTAGATAGTGGGCCCTGGAGTAAGCAGAAATGAGATACCGAAGCTAATATATTTCATAATTTTGCCTCCCAAGAGTTGAAAAGCATAAAATGGACCTTGTTTTGAGATTTCTAAAATGTGGTCTGTTGTTTTTGTACTAAAAGAATTGACTTAGCTATTGAGAAATTTGTCTTAAGCATAAAATATTAACAAGGTTGTTACATTCTTCAGTGTCTTCGTCAATTTACAAAGAAAGATAATAAATTGTAAGTTTGTAAGACTTGTAAGTTTTTTTTTTACTCCTTTGACAACTTTTACCTTTACAAAAACCAAAGACAAATTGTAAGTCCAGGGTCCAATCTCTAACGTACTGGATGAAACCCCAGCCATAAAATTACATCAAACCTTGTCTATGATATATCCATTCTATTATATATCTATGTCTTAGACTTTATTATAAAAGTTTTAGAAAAAAAATAGTTAAAGTGAAATATATATAAATATCTGTGTTAGGTTGTGACTCTGTGGTATAGGAGTCCTGAAATACTACTGGGGAACTCCTACGCTACTCCTGTTGATCTATGGTAATTTTACCAATTTTTCAAATTTTATTTTAAAAAGTTTATGCGTTGTAAATCTGTAACATTTGCTTAAGGTCTTGTGGATGTATCTTTGCAGAGCTTTTTCTCAGAAAACCTCTTTTTCCTGGTCAATACGAGGTATACAACATTGCATTCCTTTTCATAAAGGGACTGAGGTGTAATTTCAAGTGACCTACGTGGCATAACCGATTTACAACGATACCCTTTAAACCTTTGTTTGATCAAGGATTTCGTAGATATCTCGTGAGTCTCCTGGCACTTATCTTCAGCTATACAAATGACTAATGAGGGTATCTACAAAAGGAGTATAAAATAGAAGGGAGATATAACTGACGCGGCCCGGCCTAACATATGATTATACATGCTTTGCAGACGGTACTACAGTTGTATAAAAAATATTCAGAATAGGTTATTGTATACGCGGTAATTGTACATCAGACAAATATTTCTTATTCAAATGTCTGTAAAGCATGTATAATCACAAGGAGGCCGGGCCGCGCCAGTTGTCTATTTTATACTCCTTGGTATCTACCACATTGATGTCCAGACAAAGGGTTTAAAAGAGTACTGTTGTGAATCTAAAATGTATTCCTTTAATTGGAGGGTCACTTAAAATTACGCTTTCAGTCCCTTAAAATTCTGATAGACACTTATACATTTTAAAAACTTTTTTATTTTTAGGGAGATCAGTTGAACCAAATCTTTCATATATTAGGAACTCCTAGTCAGTCAGATTGGCCAGTGAATTCGAGCATAGGTAAACTGTCATCTTTAAACGTACTAGCTGAAGTGCCCGGTGTTCCCAGTGGATAAAAAAAAACTCTATTAAATAGAAATAGATAGATTAAGTAGTATTCTATGGTTTTTTTCAATGTCTGATCATAACTCAAGAACCCCTTGATCGATTTGCCTTAAGTTGATTGGGGAACTCGGTAGAATCACGGGACTGTTCTTAGCTTGGTTTACTAATTCCATGTTGAGTGGTTGACTTTAGGTTCTAGGCAATGCTGGGTTCCCAATCTAGTCTTCTCAATCTTCTCAATATTCCTTGTATACTGTTCTCAATATTCCCTATATGCGGTTCTCAATATTCCTTGTATGCGGTTCTCAATATTCCTTGTATGCGGTTCTCAATATTCCCTATATGCGGTTCTCAATATTCCTTATATGCGGTTCTCAATATTCCCTATATGTGTTCTCAATATTCCCTATATGCGGTTCATAATATTCCCTATATGCGGTTCTTAATATTCCCTATATGCGGTTCTTAATATTCCTTATATGCGGTTCTCAATATTCCTTGTATGCGGTTCTCAATATTCCTTGTATGCGGTTCTCAATATTCCCTATATGCGGTTCTCAATATTCCTTATACGCAGTTCTCAATATTCCTTGTATTTGGTTCTCAATATTCCCTATATGCGGTTCTTAATATTCCCTTTATGCGGTTCTCAATATTCCTTATATGCAGTTCTCAATATTCCGTGTATGCTGTTCTCGAAATAATATCTATATGCTGTTCTCGAAATAAGCCCTATATGCGGTTCTCAATTCGTTGTAAAATCTTACTCTAGTCTCTTTTATTATGAATTCCTTTATTTAGGAAGAGAAGCGTTTTCTTTCCGAGAAGGTCGAGCTTTGGAGAATTTAATTCCTGAGATGGATGAACATGCTGTAGATCTATTAAAGGTAATTAATGGATAAATATTTCCCGGCCGTTTTTTTGGTGTTTTGAAAATATTTTAATTTTGGTTCCTCTGCTAAAATTAAGATTGGTTTCTATGCAAAACATTCATTTTTTATGCAAAAATGCATTGCTTGCTTCAATAAGAAGGGAGAAATTATAAGGCTTTTAGGGTACCGTTGTAAATCGGCTATTTAACGTACGGTACCTGGCTATTTTAACGTACGATTTATTCAATACACAATTTTAAATGTGCTAATTTTACTAACCACTATTTTTTTCAGCAAATGTTGATTTTCTGCGCAGACGACCGAATATCCGCCGGAAAAGCTCTTCTCCATCCCTACTTTGCCGAGTTTGGATTTACCCCTGTATCCCATTCTTCGACCTCGGATACAGTTTCAGAGTCCTCGGCGTCCTCTATGTCCGAGGGAGGTAGCTCCGAGGCCAACACCTCACTATCCCCCGTCACACACTCAACATCCTTCTCATCACATGAAACTTCCGGCGAATCTTTCGGGGATTTAAGTGGATTGGTCGAAAATGGAAATTAAAATGGCGCCTAGCGCGCGATAAAACAATTTGCGGCATTTTGGTGTTTACATGATTTCTACCTCGTTGAGAAAACAAAAGACAAACCTAGTGTCTCTTAATCAAAAAGACGTCTCTTCTTAATAAACTGAACCTCTATTGTTACCATTAATGTATAATCTAAATATTTAATTGCTCAATCCTATCTGATGGGAACTAATACCCTCGCGATCAAAGACATAGACAACGGCCATTGTTGTATATTGCTCAAAACTTACTTCTTAAATGAAACCAAAAATAATATGCAATATCTTAAACTCGATCTCGGATCATAATACTTTGAACTAAATGTAGAATTATAATATGTTTTTGAAGTAATTAAAATCTAAATTGTTTTATATAAGGGTGTAGTTTTCATTTGAAACTTAAAATTATTTCTGCTAATGGTTTCAAATTAAAAAACAAATCAGGAATTTGATATTGTTTTAGACCAGAAAGTTAAGTTCGCTAAATTTTGAAATAATTAATTTTTATTCCAAAAAAAGTAAATTAATTTGATGTTCACTCTAGTATACAAGCTGTAGAATTTTATCTTGCAGAAAAGAAACCTGTATTTTCGTATTACTTCGTAAACCCTTACAATGATATGAAACCCTTAACATTTATAGAGCAGTAAGAGCGTACAAAGACAATTTGTAAATAGTATTAATTTCAATCATTTTTATGAGCAGGTCTTTCAAAGAGCCGGAATAATTTAATGTTTTCAGCAATTTCAAACCTCTCGGATATAAGAATTATTTTTTAATGTACTTGAAATAATGAAATAATGTATATCTTCCAGCCCCTTATTTTATATTGTCAGAAATAAATATTTTGAAATTGATCACTTTTTTCGCGAAATTTCCTAATGATTTTCCTAATATATAGGATGAATAAATAAACGAGTCATTTTCGCGAAAATGTATGAAGCTAAAAAATGCGAACTTGCAGCGAAAATGCGGAATACAATTGCACAAAAAAGAATTTCTTCTCTAAGAGCTGAAATTAACGCTTGATTATGTCATAGTAATCCTTTCTCTTCCTTTACTTCAATTACTTCAATTTGAAGGAAGAGAATGTGATATCTCTAGCTATAGAAATATATGTTTCTGTCCGTCCACGTACGTTCACCCAAATCTAGCGAATCTGGCTAGCTATGAGCCAACTAATTACAAGAAAGAATTTTTCGTAAGTTACTTATTAATTTTGTTTGACTTGTAAATATAACTCAAATACACTGTGATGTTCTCAAATACACTGTGATGTTGTCTTTCTGTACCTTAGTTTTCTGATTCTCACTGTAGCAAAATATCTTATTTTGATTAAACGAACCTTGCAATGTTAACCAAAAAAAGTTTCCATTTTAATGTTCATCCAATGTGAACAAATGAAAAATGTATCATATTAAAATGTAGCTTAACCACAAGAAACTTCAAAATTTGAAAACTGTTGAAACAAGTGACACTTGGGACTCCTTGGGCCTCGATTATTTTAAAATCAACAGAGATATTTAATTCCATTCTTGCATCTGCTGCATAAATTTGTAAGTCGAACAGATACAATTATTGATTTTAAGATATAAAAACAATTCCGATGCACGCAATTCCGCGAATATTTAATTGCTTCCTTTTTCGTAATTATAGCGAAATGAAATTGTGCAAGCGGAAGCAACCATTGGGCGCAATTCTGCGCAACAGAATTTCGATTGGAAACCCTACAAACAAATTGTAAACATAGCAGACGAAAATCTTACGAACTCAAGCTTTCTCAGTAGGTATTTACTGAATTCACGAAATCAAAGAATTATTTAAAAAGACGATATCGAATTCGTCACTGCAGAATTCCCATGTTTATTGGGAGACCCTGTATGATATTGAACAATATCTTCGCACATTTTGTGTGTGAAATATTTAGCGCGTTGCTTGCTGCTCTAATTGCGTATTTTTTGGACGAAATTTTGTTCCGCGCCTATTCCGTATTTTTGTGCGGAAAAGATAAACGTGAAATTCCACATTAAAAGCAGAAAGTTGCGTATTTTTTTCTACGTGAGGAATGCGCAAAAATGCAGAATTTGCGGCGAAACAAAAAATTGCGGTTTTGCGGCGGAACAAAAAATTGCGACAGCCCGTTTAAACAATTATCCAACAGGGTGTCCTACGAAACATGACAGTGCAGGTCAACCAAATTTGTCACAAAATCGACCTAGTCTTGGCATTTCCAAAATGTGGTCAGCCTTTTTGATGCTCTCAATATTGCCGGAGAAACGAAGAATTTCGTTCAGATTTCGACAATTTTGGCTTTATTTAATAAAATTGAGATCTGAACATAATACTCAAAATCTCCGATAATATTGACAGCAAAAAAAACAGCAAAATACATAATACATATAAAAGAAGGTTTACGGCTGAACGTGAGATCAAAGACGACTTTTGATTTGAAAGTCGTCTTTGCAACTGTCATGTTTAGTAGGAAACCCTGTATTGTATATATATATATATATCATGATTCTTAAATTGATTTATTGCTCTATGAAGAAAACCGGGGAAAATTTCTTCACATAAAAAATGAAATAAAAATTTTAAAATTCTGTTGAGATCTAATTCTTAACTAAATAATGCAATTATCGCAACAATTTTAGAAATATATTTAGTTCTAGATGAAAAGTCAGGTTTCAAGTCGACTAATGACCTAAAAGAATGTTATTTTTGCCACTTTCAGGGCTTTTGTTTCCTATCATTAGCCCATTTCAGGACGGTTGGAATAGGATTGGAATTACAGGGTTTTAAAGGACACAAATTATCCACCTTTCAAGAACATTTTCAGAAGAATCATTTCAATAGAAATTTTTAGTAAAAAAGTCTTTTTAAAGAATGAATCTAAAAAGTCTGAATGCGTGTTTTCTTTTTTTTCGAAAGTAGATTTACAGAAAATATACAAATAACGACCAAGCCCAATATGCTAAAATCAAATAACTATTAAGCGTAAAAATAATTCTTTTTCAAACGAAAACACTTAACGCATACAAAAAGTAAATAAACACGTGCAAAATAGACTACAAAAACACGTCTCAGACAAAATCCTGCTTTCTACGCCAATGAGTCAGGAATGATTTTTATCAAATGCATTTTCCCTTTAACTAAGCATTTCTGCATTTGCGAATATTGGAAGCTTTTTTTAACACCGAGTTCCCCAAAAGTTTTATCTGATTAAGCAAAAATGAGATAACCATATTTTTGTGTTTAAAACTGTGACTACAAATTAAATTCTGCAGAAAATCGTAAAACCCAGAATTCATTCAAGATTCTTACAAAGTATACGTTACTTTACACTATACCTTTCACAAAAAATTATAACACAATAAAAACTTGGAAAGTCCCGCCAAAACGGAGTGGTAAAAAAATCCCCCCAAGTTCGTTAAAAGATGTTTTCAAGGCCATAATCAATGAAGGAGCGTGGGAGGGAGGGAGGGGGAGGAGAGGGGGGTTGACCACCCAGTATGACATATTTTCCGTTGGTTGTTAAGTGTTGAAGGTTGGATAAATGAATAGTTTTATTGGGCAAATTTATTCTTTTCTTTCGAGACCCTTAGAAGTCAAGGTTAGGTTAAACAGAACACCGGCAAATAGGCCGATTGACAGACAGACACACAAAAAGGACATACTAAAATCCATTGACAGACAGACAGGATCTAACAGAAAAGCACTGACAGACAGACAGTTTTGGCAGTCAGAAATATAAAAATGAGAAAATTTTAATTGTTCTTTCATTAATTATATTAAAAAAATAACTAAACAATAATACTAATAGAAATTTATTGTAAATGAAAAAATTAAAAACTATTGATCTCGTTTCAACCATAGCAAAGGGGAGGCAAACCATTTCCGGGGTCCGCTCTAAACATACATTTTTTAATAATCTTTTACAATAAATTTATAAGGTACGTTACAAATACAAACTGAAGCATGGTTTAAATGTGTACAATGTACAAGCGTAAATAGTGTAAATCATACACGATATATTTTGTCTGGGGGTGGGTGGAATGTTTTAATAATTTTTTACACTATAATTTATACTGAAATAATCTTATGTATAAATATGAATAGTCTGTGGTACGGTCTGTTTTGTTCCCAATAAATGTTATAATATTTGGAACCAAAAAAGTGTGGACTAGAAAGACGACATTAGAGGGGGTGACCGGCAATGTATGGTAGTTTAACTGAGAATAAAGTATTGTGGAGATTTTTTTAGGATTCCTTTAAGACGTAAAAAACGTTTTAATGATTTATAATTACTGAGTTTGTGCGCAAAGTCAACGTTCAAAACCATCCGTTTGGGCGGAACTACGTTTTGAGAGTCGATTTAAAAAAAATTATCAATAACGACGACAAAAAATGTAAATAAAATTCTACAGTAAACTAATTAGATGTTTATGAACTATTTCTCAACTGAAATTTTCTCAAAAAATGAATATTAGAATCAATTATTTGTTTTTCATCATTATATTGAGTTTCTTAGGATTTATGAATCTGTTCGCAGTTTTCTTCAAATTCTTCAAATGTCGTCTTTACAATAAACCTTCCTGAGCTGGGAACTTCAGGATGGATAACCTTTAATCCCAATTACCTAATCCGAATATCCACTGTGGAAACTTTTCATTTTAGTCCTTCATCCACTCTTTTTCTCTCTCTTCGGATATCCGTAAATTGTTTTCTCCAATGACAGTGCAGGAATATAGGAAAATAAATTCTATTCTTCTAGAGAAATCCACAATTTCTAACAAATAATGTATATGTTGTCGCCATTTTGTAAATTAATTGGTGAAGAAAAATATTTTTTAATACGTTTGAGATTCTTCTTTAACCAATTTTAAATAATTTATTAATAAATAAATGGGTGAGAAATTAAGTGATGGCCCTTCCAGTCAAGAAAACGAACAACTCTGGCGTTCCTAGAATCAAATTTGTTGATCTAAATATTTAATCTTGAGACAAACATAATCTCGAGATTATGTTAGCCTCGAGATTAGCAAAATCAGAGGATTAAGCATTAATCCTGATATCCACCATTCTAAAGTTCCCAGCTCCGATCTCTACAGAAAATGTTTGTTAACAATAAGAAATTAAAGAAACCATTAACCAAAAAAGATTACTTATTTTCGATGATAACACTTAATTTTAATTTTCTCAACCTGTTCCTAAACAACAAACTAGTTTAATGTCGAATTTTCACTACATTTTTCGTCGTCGTTATTGAATTTTCTAAATTGAATTAGTTAATTTTTTAAATCCGATTCTCAAAATCATCCCTCAAAAATACAAACTGTATGAGGATTTTAAAGATTGAATTTGCGCTCTTCCTGAACAAATATGCAATTTAAAAACTTATCATAGGTCTCAAATGATTCCAAAAAATTTCTCCACAATACTACATTCTCAGTTCAACTACCATACATTGCTTATCACTCCAGGCCCGTAACCAGGAATTTTCCCGGGGGGGGGGGGGGGGTAAAGAAGCGCGCCGCATGCAAAATTTTTTGTTTTGTTATGTTTTTAAAAGCAATGCTTGGTTTGTTTTGCGGTGGTATATGGTTTTCTTTATTACATTGTCAATGTACGCTATGAAGACTAACCTTTTTAACAAGTGTATTTAAGCTTTTAAGGTTTATATTTTAGTGTCTGAAAAACACACACAGCCACTTTTAATGAGTAAGATTATAATTTGGTTTGGGAAGGGAATCAACTCTTGCTTGGGCTATATTATTGGTAACTAGATTTTAGAAAATTATGAGAAACAATTTCTTTTATGTCATAGCACCCCCCCCCCTGGTTACGGGCCTGTATCACTCCCTTTAAAGCAATGCTAAAGGGTATTTTATATTGATACAATATCAATAGTTTTACTAGGAACTTATTAAATAACAAGTGAAATAGGACTGTTTACACTAAAAAATTGCTTTGTCTCATGTTCATTGGAATATTTAAAATTATTACTTAGGTCTAAAGTCGTCTTTCCGTCCCACAGCTTTCCGTTTCTTACTGTATTTCCGAAGGTTGGAGAGAAAATTTTGTTCTTACTTTAATACCGTGGAAGGATAGTTTAAAGTCTCCTTGTCTTGAATTCACATAGCTCCAGTAATCCATACTTAGGGATCCTGGATCCATCTTATCTAATTAGAGAACTTTTAATATATGCTTAGGGATCCTGGATCCATCTTTTCTAGTTACAGAACTATTAATCCAAACTTAGGGATCCTGGATCAATCTTATCTAATTAGAGAACTATTAATCCATACTTAGGGATCCTGGATCATCTTATATCTAATTAGAGAACTATCAATATATACTTAGGGATCCTGGATCCATCTTACCTAATTAGAGAACTATTAATATATACTTAGGGATCCTGGATCCATCTTATCTAATTAGAGAACTATTAATATATACTTAGGGATCCTGGATCTTTAAATAAGAATTAATAATCAATAATTAAGAATTTTGAAAATGATTGATGTTACCTGTAATCATAATTCCACTGAGATGGTCCATTTCATGTTGTATTATCCTGGCTGTCCAGTCCTTAGCTACTAGCTCCACATCATCACCTTCATGTTCATGTTCATGTTCATGTTCATGTTCATGTTCATGTTCATGTTCATGTTCATGTTCATGTTCATGTTCATGTTCATGTTCATGTTCATGTCTATCGTATGTATATTTACAAATAACACCTTTGTAATTGGGGTGAAATAAATAATGTGAAATAGACATTTAAAAATCTTGTTTACCGTTTTCATTTAATCCAGATACTTTTACAGTTTTTGCCCTGGGAACCATACAGCTGTAACCATGTAAACTGCAACATCCCTCTCGCAATGATATCTAAAATATTCAAATTGCATTCTCAATCTTGAATCAAAATATAACATATTTAGGTATGGCAAGTCACAGTGCAGGTTTCTAAGTCCATTAACCAAAAACTTGTTTGTGTACTGCAGTGTAAGCTTATTATTGTCTATTCGTCAGTACACTGTACAGGAAATTTTCATCTTTAAAAGACCACTGAAACCATCGACATCGCTCCCAACATTTTAGTGACAACTCACATTACTTCTGGGAGGTTTATGGATGGTTTACGTTGAAATTTTTACCCGAAAAAAAATGTCAATTTTTGGAAACTAGAGTTTTACTATTACGAAGAAAAAATGGCCGCTTGAAAAGCAATATTTAACANCCGGGAAATAGCCCTTTAACTGTAGAGTAGAAAACCTGGATTATCCTGGAATATGGAAAACTTTGAATTGAGCTTCAGGTTCGCCGATCCTTCAGGTTACAGTTATTGCTCAACCTGCTACTGATGAAGAGTTAAAAAAGATTTTGGAAGAGATTTCTGTTTCCCTGCAGCCTGCAGAAATCAGAAATTGTTTCAGCAACATGAGAGATCGCACCAGACTGTAAATCTCTAAATGAAGCCGGTTTCGAGTTACAGCTAAACCAACTTAGAAAAGTTCATATAAATGGCAATTTTGCTCAAAATGTAAATTTCCCAATCTAGTTTAACTAATAATATATTTATTGAAAGATTATCAGGTCGATTTAGATGAAATATAAGCAAATCAAAAATATCAGTTGTAGAGAAACATACTGTAGCCCCAAGAAAATCTCAAAATATACTAAAATAAATGTACATTCGGTAAACTTTAAGTTTGTTAAAGTTCTAGATCCTATTTTCCAAAATATTTTGAAAAGTTTTATTTTCCTTGTTAACTGAAGAATGAATATTTGTAAAGGAATTCCAATTTGAGGAGCGGAGATCCCTACGCCGTCGTATCTTCCTCAAGCAAATAATACAAATATATTCAACAGAAATCAGACTTTCATTATTCAATTCAGATCTGAATAATAAATTAATAGAAGGGATTTATAATCGTTCGTTTTTAGCCTATATTTTCTTTCCGCGTCTAAATTTGACTTTGTGTAATAAAAGCAAAGGTTTTTAAATTTATTCATCTTAAACATTTTCTTCCACTATGCAAAATTTGACCCTGACAAAATATATGTGAAAAAAAATAACTAAAAAAATACTGGTATAAACAATGAATTTACTAGTCACTCTATATTGGACTAGCTTGAGGACCCAGCGTTGCCCAGGGGAGTCAAAGTTAGTAAAACCTACTAAACTTAAATCTCAAAACCGTGGGTCTCCCGAGTTCCCCAATCAAAATTTAAGCAAATCGGTCTGGGGGTTCCTGAGTTATGATCGGACAAACAAACAAAACCGAGATTACAATTTTATGTATAGGATACCTAGTGAATACTTCATGTTAGCAATTGTTTGTTGAACCAGGGGTTCTCCTATCTCCTGTTTCTTTATCACACCACACTTAACCTTCAAAACAGGATCTCCTGTTATCGTCAAAATAAAAATTCTAGATCAGGGCGCTTCGCACCAACTTTGTAAAGGTCCTTTTCGACTCATTCGGTTCAATCATGAAAGGGACTGTTCAACTAGAGGTAATTTCATGTCCATGGCCGTAACTGGCATTCACTGGTGGTGGTGGTGGGTGGGGGGCACACCGAGAGGCTTCAGAAAAAAAAATACCGAATACTTGATGTCCAACGAGGAATTATAAAAATTCGAATAAAAATATTCGAATATATTTCTGTGACCTCCAGGAGAAAATAGCAACGTGTTAAAATAGAAAAAAAGTTTGAATACAAAGTTATCAACAGCAAAAGCAACATCCTACTTAATTCTCTTGAATCTTTAAAATCCTTAATGTTCAAAAATCTCAGTAACATTTATCAACCTTTTCCTTCAAAATAAAATTAAGACGAGTTTCCTATTTGAACAAAGTGTTTATATGGGGGTCCGGTAATCTTCTTCGTTTCCCCTACTCCCAAACCAGAGAACAGTCCCTTTGGTTTATTTTTCAAACCTCTTCTTGAAATCAGAAAAACATTTTTAAATTTATTTTCAAACATTTTTTCTGAAAATTAAACTTTTGTACACCAAGAACTTTTAACAAGTTATTTTGTAATATTTTACACCCAAATACCAGTGCAAAGGATCCATTTAATGTTGATGCGGATCCTGGATCCGCACCAATAAAAATGGATCCGATTCCAGGTTATTTCTTTAAAATTTACTTAATATTTTTAACATAGCAGAATTTTCATTTTTTTGTCTTATTTTTTCGCTTACTTTTATGCAAAACTTTAAAAAGCATTCAGAAATCAGGAAATTTTTATTATCTCTCTTTATTCAAATATTCAAATTAGGGGTTTGCAAGTAATTTTTTTTGTTTGCATTTTTTGGTTTTGCCCTTGATCGGACGCGTGGATCCGCATATTTTTTCGGATCCGAATCAAGGAATCCAAAATCTTGCGGATCCGACGGATTCAGATCCGGATCCTAAGCACTGTCACATACGTTACAATTGTTTTTTAAATCACATTAATTCATGTATTTAGAGTTTGGACGGGTAAAATAATAAATCTGTTTTCATTTTACAATTGTAAATCATAGTGACAGATTCAGGGGTTTATATTTCTGAGAAATAACCCCCCTCCTCCTTACAATCTGGAATTTTCAATTTCCCCCCAAAGCTTTAGAAGGCATTGGGATCCGTAGAAAAATGATCAAAGTCCTGAAAATAAATCATTTTACAATTCATGTCTTTAAATACATAGTCGTACAATGAGCAATTAAATCTGCTAATAATAATAAAATATTCAGTCAGAAATATTGGACCTGCTGTCGTCTTTAATCAATAAAAAAATAAAACCCTCATTAGAAAATAGTCCCGAAATAAAGCATGCACAACTAAAGTAAGAGGGGGTCTTTCAGAAAGATAAGCATCATATTTTTTCCCGTTTACGGCCTTAATTTTATGGTCATTGGCTCTAAAGCGGTTTACTGATATATAATTTGTTTATTTATGAGATTTAGCGTACACTGTAAATTGCACTGTACACTGTAAATTATGCATATATTTACAGAAATGCGGTTGGCGATTTGAAATTGCACATTTTACATAATTTAGTATTTTTCAATTAAAGGATTAACTTGAAATGATATTTTTTCCAGGATTTATCTTTATGATCTTCTTACAATACAGGATTCAGTATATTTTCATTTTTAAACGATCCTCCAATCACTGCTTAAGATCCTCAAATTAATGATTTTCTGTCAAAAATTCGTCATAAATAATTTCCTGTTTATGATCCTCCATTAATGGATTCATAGTTAGCATGCCTCCATTAATGGATTCACTGTAAATCCTCCATTAGATGATTCACTGTTTATCAATCCTTCATTAAAGGATTCACTGTGTATAAATCCTTCAATAGAAGAATTCCTGTTATAGATCCTTTATTAAAGAATTTACTTTTAACACTCCTACGCTAAAGGATCCTCTTCATCCTCATCCTCTAGATCCTCTTCCATCTCTTCAACATCATCTTCTTCAGCTTCCAGAGGATCATCAACATCTCCCTCCTCCATCTCATCCTCTACTCCTTCCTGGCGTATAACCTGATCAACTACAGCATCTATCTCCCTGGCCTCCATCTCCTCCTTGATATTTATACTCTCCTCCTTCACACCATCAACATCCTCAACTTCGTCGGACTCGTCGGACTTCACGGTGATTGGAACCGTCTTGAACATACTCTTCTTAGAGTATACTTTCTGTAATACAAACAAATTTATTAGTAATTAGCTGAATTTCCCAGGTTACTTATAATCAGTCCCGCCATTTATCCGCGCTTAAAAATTTCAAATTGTTTTAGCCAATGACACCTTTGGGGTACCATTGGTTCTCTAAAAAAGTACCATCCAATTTTTTTTCATTCTTTTTGCCGCTTAAGGGAACATCTCTTTTGAAAAAAATGATATATTTTTGTACCTGTTGGAATTCTGGACAGTTCTGTGCCATGTGCTCGAATAGGTCGGCATCTACTGGAGTCTCAAACCACTGGTAGACACAAATCTTCAAATAATGGTGGATTTAGCATTGAAGTATAGTGGGGGTATAATATGATATCTTTCTCATACCAGCAAAAAGTTATGTAATAAAAAATAAGAAGTAACTTTCAGAAAATAAATTTAAAAATTCCAACTCATTTTTAAGGAAATATAAAAAATTTAATCAGAGATCATTAAGAAGGTCAATTTCTCAATTATATCTAGAACATTTTGTATCAAAACATTTTTATCATAATCAAGTTCAATTCAATTGAGAAAAACTTGTTTAAAATTTCTTTGCTACTATTGTTACTTAAGATATTAGCTAACTCGTAGGCCCAGAAATAGGTTGAATTGAATAATTCTGTTCCTTATTTGATACAATCAGTCTCTTCCAAGTATCATCAGACTGATCAAACGTCCACTTTCCACCCTAAATTATAACAATTACAGTTCAGATTATCATCTGTTGTAAAATGTGTAGTGTGTACCAATTTACCAAATAAACTGAATAAGAATATAATTAAGGTCAATAATCATTCCTTAAATATTATTGTTTTTATAATAGAATAATTTTTAAAATAAACTTAAACATCCATGATGAACTTTTTCTAAAAAGGATACAGAGCAAATTTTAACTAAAGAAAAATGGCTTGACCTACCTCGACTCTTTGGAAAACTTTGTTTAAAGAGAGATTATGTCTGATGGAGTTCTGCCATGTCAAACCAATAACAGACTGCCTAAATATATTTGTCTTTGAAGTCATACCGATAATAGACTTCATAATCATACCGAACAAGGACTTCTAAATCATGCGGATTTTAAATTCCCTGATAATACCGAAAACGGAGTTCCTAATAACACCGATATAGGAGTTCCTAATCATACCGATATTGGAGTTCGTAATAACACCAATATAGGAGGCCCTGATCATACCGAAATTGGAATTCCTAATAACACCGATATTTCACTTCCTTTTCACACCGAAATAGGAGTTCTTGATCATACCGATATTGGAATTCCTAATAACATCAATATTGGAGTTCCTAATAACACCAATATTGCAGTTCCTAATATCACCAATATCAAAAAAAGGTTTTATGCTAAGCTAATTTAACAATACTAGAAATTCAAGGCGCTTCGCGCCCTTCTTTCTAGCCTTAGAGGGCGCGAAGCGCCCATCTTCTAAATTAGTTGTGAACATGTTCTCTTTGTGTACATCGTAAAACAAAACAAAAATAATTCGCCGATTTTCACAAAAAATTTCGAGGATTTTCAAAATTTTCAAAAATTTAATGACGATCGAATTTTGATGGAGACAAATATTAAAAATTTAAATCATTCATAAACCTTCCCTGGGGTCCCTAGATGTCCCACAAAAAATTTGGGCCCGATCGGTTCAGCCGTTTTGACGTTTATTGGATACAAACAGACAGACAGACAGACAAGCCAAATTTATATATAGATTTTATAGATTTAGAGAAATGCTGTTAACAAACCTGTAGTAGGGAAACCAGAGCTTAACGTGGTCGTAAATACCAGATAAACCCATCTCCTTCGTCGGGGAGAAGAATATACTGAATATCATTCATTTATTATTTCATTTGGTTATTCATATATCTGTTCATTTATTATTCATTCGTTCATTTGTCCTTCCTTTCATTCATCCTTTAATCTTATTATTCATTCTTTAATTCATTTATTCAAACATCCTTTTATTCATTCTTCTCTTCATTTGTTTTTTCATTCATAATTCATTCATTCAGTCTAGTTTTTAAGAAGGTTTAAATAATAAAACAAATGATGATAAATATGATGTGTTCCTGATCATGCAGAGTTCTTTGTAACTGAAGGGGGGTTTAGGGAACTCATCAGAACCAACACTAGCTGTTCCTAAACATTATATATATATAAATATATCTACATTATAAACACTAGCTGTTTTTAAACATTCCCCAACTATTTCCATCCTAGAACCCACAAAACTATCTACTTTGCAACCATAACTTCTGTTATTACAATCTATTAAGCTCTCTAGAGGATGTTCTTAAGATTGTATAAGGTTCAATATTTGAGTAATGTATAAGGTGGTTTTTTATCCGTTATACAATATCAATGTCAGGTGGAAAACAAAAACAATAAATTAGAATATTTCACCGATTTCTCCCTCAAAGAATCAAACATATTTTCTATATGTTAGTGAAGGTTACCTTTATCCCCCTTAATAGGATGATTGTTGAACTAGAGTTTCTACCCCCATACCTTTTCTCGGAATGTTGTATAACGTAATCGGTTAATGTCAAGGAGTATGAAATATAATGGAGATACAAACGACGCGGGCCCGCCCTACCATATGATTTTACATGATTTGCATTTTTCAAATGGAGTACCCCACTCCGTTTTAAAAGAGTTTTAAAGGTCGTCTTTTATTTTTTTTATACGTGGTCTTATACTAAACCAAATAAAAAGAAACCAATTCTTTTTATTTTAAAAAATATACTTGTATTACTGATATCTTTGCATCCCAATAAAAAGTATTTGTTTGCCTTATTCAGCCTAATTTGTAAACTGTTTAATGTATACAATAACCTATTCTGAGTACATGTAAGCGGTATTGGTACATCAGACAAATATTTCTTATTCAAATGTAGTACTGTCTGCAAAGCATGTATAATCATATGGTAGGGCGGGCCACGTCGCTTTTATCTCCCTTATATTTCATACTCCTTAGTTGATGTAAAACAAACAAACTGGAAGAAAATCAGGGGGGACTAAGTTTGGAAACTTGAATCAGCTGTTAAGTGAGAATGAAGGTGGTAAGTGCAAATTGCACAAATCTAATTAAAATTGCAACATTCAGTCACTGAACAAAACAATGAAGTCATCAATTCATTTTAAAACAAAAACAAAAAATAAATTAAAATTCAATTACTTATCCAGCTTTACTTGGTTTACAATATTTCTTAAAAAAGCTTGTATTATAAAATTTAAAAAATTACAAAATACAATTTATTCTTGTTTAATAATGATGGGCAAAGATACCAAATAAAAAGCATTTGAAAATTTTTGTAATAAACAAAAAATAATAGGTGAAACTTATTGGTCCCAGATAAACATGTTTTATTTGTTTATGATGAATTCGATTAAAAAAGACAATAATTTTAGTATGTTTTGTTCTGATATATAAAAACAGAGATAGTTTTGATGGATGTAGTCATGTTTATAACTTAACAATTAATATCACTTCTGGTTTATTACCACATTTTAAACTAATTGTTGTACTTTCCTTATCTTCAAATATTCATGTGGCTAAGCTTAAGATTGTAATGTCAATATTTAGAAATAAAACTGAACACTCTATATCTTGAAGCCGGTGAGAGAGGAAAAATGAATATTGTTAAAGATAAAGTTATTTATTCTCCCCTCCCACCTAGGCCTTCACCTCCTTATCAACCTTATATAGAGAGGCTGCTGGCTGAGGTAAGCCAAGAAATAGAAGAAACTGGGGATAGGGATTGGATTGTTGATACCGAGACAGGGCAGTCTCATACAATCTCTAAGATAGAACCAGTGAGTAGGAGAGTAGCAGGGGCTCTTCACAATCTCGGGTTTGGACCAGGAGATGTTCTTCAGACAGGATATTCCTCATGCTTGGACTTTTACTGGCCAGCATTTGGAGCTTGGTTGTGTGGAGGAGCAGTGAGTCTAGCTGACCCAAACTTATCATCAACTGCAATCAAGCAACAGATTAAGGACACAAAAGCCAAAATTATTGTATGTAGTAAGCAATACCTTGACAAATATTGTGCAATCAAACAAGAACTTAGAGAAGAAGATGTTCATTTTAACCTCTCTGTGCTGGATGAAGAAGATGGAAATCTGCCAGCTGATGTCAAAAGCTTTCAATCCTTTCTGAACTTTGATGGAGATATCTCCCACAATGAGAAGCTAGAATATATTCCAGACAGCGTAACTATGGTTCTCTGGAGCAGTGGATCTACAGGAAACCCAAAGGGTATTCTTCATTCACATCGTACATTACAAACAATTAGTCTAGCAAAACCTTCCAGTCCAAAGAGCATTCTAGTGTCAGCTATTATGTTCCATATTGGAGGCTTCACTTTAAACCTTTCTATTGCACTATTTGGAGGCACTACTAGCTACTTTATTAAAGAAAAGTGTTTCTCAGGAGAGAACTGGTTCAAAATTGCAGAGAAATTTCAACCAGAGCATGTGTACATAGGGGTCAGTCAGTTTATACAGGTTAGCAAGGCTAAGAATGTAGACAGAAACTTGTCAGGGGTAAAGATGATAACACCTCTTGGTGGCGCTGTGTCTCCTGAGTGCTGTGAAAAAGTTCTAAGCATGGTGGGGGACCAGGCTAAGATTATAGAAATGTACGGGTCAACTGAGATAGTATTTCTTGCATTTAAGCTAAACAAACACCCAAAGTTTGGATTTCTGGGTACCCTAGGTTCTGGGGCAGAGATGTACATCCAAGATATAAAAACTGGAGAGAAACTGGGTCCCAGAAAGGAAGGAAAAATGATGGTAAGGACAAGGTCCATGATGATGAACTATTTGAACCGTGAAGAAGAAAATCGTGAATTTTTCAATTCTGATGGATTTGGGTATGTTGGAGATGTTGGCTACTATGATGAAGAGGGCAACATATTCTTCTGCTATAGAATGAGAGAAGTTCTAAAGGTTGACAACTACTGGTTTGGACCTGAAGAGATAGAGAACTTGATGGAGGCCTTGGATGACATCAATGAAGCTTGCGTCTGGGGAGAGTATGACATGAATACTGGGAATGACCAGGTAACTTATTAAAATTCAAAGAAGGACAGAATTTCCTAGTAATAAGTGATGATTTTTACCTTGACTTGGGATTATACAAGGGTTGACAGCCAAAAAAGGATGAAAAATTTTGTTTGTAAGAAGATCAGAATAAATATCATTACCAGAATTTGGGTCAATTTTACCAAGGACCACCCTCTTTATATTTCTTAATAACCTTGCTATATTTTATTATTCTAGGTCAGATTAGGTTAAGAAATATTGTAAGGTTGCCAATAAATATGAGAAATAGGAGTTGTCCAAATTATTATACTAAATTTTTGATTTTAGGTCAGCCTTGGTATCGTTCTTCAGGCAAACAAAGAAGAATGGACAGAGACTAGAATTAATGAATATATTACTTCAAATCTTCCAATTACCAGGAGAATCACTGGAAAAATTTACTTATTGGATAGAATTCCTCACAATCCTCAAGGGAAGAAACTCAGAAGAGAAATGAAAAATTATGTACAAAAGATAGAAAATTGATTAACCCAAACTTTTAATATACAGTCATAATATTTATTTATTCAGTGTACACACACTTTTACAACATACTAATAGATCCTTATTTGTAATCCTTATACTACGAAAATGAACAAAAAAAATATTTTTGTCTGATCTAACCTGAATGTGCACCATTGGCTGCAAACTGCATACTAAGTCTTGCTCCTAGATTTGGAGCTGTAGCGACTTTGGGAGACCCAGTCAGAGATACTAAAATAAACAACATTATTGTTAAAGATTAATTCCAACCCTTTTAGTAGCCCAATATTTAGTTAAAAAGTATGTAGTGTTCATCTGAGAAGAAAAGGTCTTCATTGCATAGTACACACACAACACCATATCCCTGGTCAACATGTTGAAAGGTGAATTCGGACTCAGATATTATTATTGGCAGTTTTTAAACTTATTAAAATAAAAATCCCTAAAATATCCTTGTGTAAATTGCGCAAGAAAAAAATTGTCCAATTTTAAGTTGTTTTGACATTGAGAGGTGTAACCTTGTCTGATTATTTTACATATAACTTAAATCTGTAGTGTTGAATGTTGATCACTACTTGATTGATTACTGAACTATTGTACTAATAATCAGTTAAATCAAACCTGTGACATCAGTAGCAGGCGCAGGTTGTGAAGAGCTGATCGGTCGCTGTAACAATGTCACACTTGATGCTCCAGTTGAAAGTCCGAGTACTAAACAAATGTCATTGATAAATAGATAACAAATCAATTAAACCAAAATTAGATTTTAAAAAGGACTATGTTACCCACCAAACCTTCATTGAAGGTTGTAACAAAGTTAAAATAAAACATCTGAAAATCAAAAATTTAAATCAACATTTGTTTCTTCCAATTACAATCAAATTTCTTTAAAACCAAAAATTCTGTGAAAATTTGCATGCAAATTGAGAAGAGATTTTATAAATAATTTAATACCTTGGTTGGGTATACTTGTCATGGCTGAGTTAAGACTGATAACACTTGAAGGTTGAATAATGATTGGAAGACTTGTTGATGAGTTCTCCACGGGGCGTAATATGATGGGTAATCCTATTCAATAGATAAATAATCATAACCTCCTTATATTACTTTAGGGATTGTCTAGAGGTCAGAATTTTTGTGTGAGTATTGCTAATCTTGAACGCTTGATCTCAATATCCAATGAGAGCATTTTCAAATTTAAGGATCAATGCATTATTTCTTTATTAAAGTTATCCCTGCTAGGTATATCCACCAGCGGATATCGAAGAGAAATTAAATTAATCTGTATATCTGCATCATAACATGAAGATCATTGCTTGATTTAAAACACATATTTGAGTTTGGAATTTAAGCGGAACATTAAATCTTATCTGCATAAGATCCATTCAATTTTTAAACATAAGGTAAGATAAAAAAACTCTTTAAAAACCCAGACCGTCAACTGAAAAAGCACACTGGATAGTGTGGACACCTGGTCCACCTGGTCCAGGGATGATGGAGAATGAAAGGTTTGAAATTATCAATATGTAATTATTTATCTAAATTTCCTTTTTTGAGTTGCTGTTTCAGATTATCCGGTAGTTCTTTGGCTGCATCACTCATCTCATCAATCACTGAAAAAAGTTTTTTTAAATAATTGCCATTTTGTTATCAAAGTGAACAGGATTGGAAAATATATTGTTATCAAGGTGAACAGGATTGGAAAATATTTTATTCAGGTTCTTATTGCTGAATTGGAGAAAATGATTGAATTTATTTGACCCACAGCATCGAAAATAATTTTTTCAAAAATTAAACCTTAAGAAAATTTAGTTTTCTATTCATTTTTCTTCAAAAGGAATTAATATTTTTACCTAAATTCCCAGAGTCGTTTTCTTCTTCTTTCTTATCATTCTAAGAAAAAACAATAGATTTACCATAACAATATTTAATTGCAGTTACAGGGTGTCCCATGAAACATGATAGTTGGTAAATAGTTTAGAATGTCTTCTTCTATAATTTGTTACGTTGTTTAATACCAAAGACAATATTAAAAATATTATATAGGAGTCATATTATAGTAAAATTATCTTCAAAGTAAAAAATATTTGAGCAAAAGATTTTTTAAACGAAATCAACAGCCTTTAATATCTAATACACTGTATGGAAGACGACATTCAAAACTATTTACCAACTGCCATGTTTTGGTAGGACACGTTTAGTTAAGTAGTATGACATTTTGAGGTTGCCTCGTTCCAGGAAAGTAGAGAAACTTCTGATATTTTCCCCAGTATTAGACGAGGTTCTAAGCTATGGTTTAAAAAAGTACTTTTGTTGAGTTGTAATTTATTCCTATAACTCAGCAAGAATTCTTTAATTAATTTATTATTAAGGTACCATTTTGATGATTAGAAATAATAAATATCTAAAAAGTTTTAAAAAAACCTGTCCAGTAGAATTCTTCTGTATAAAATATGTATCATTTGAAGGTTTGGGAGCAATAGCAATAAACCTGAAAAAAAAAATTTAGAAAATATGAAAGGGAGTGCTCGCATAAATTAAAGGGGGTTTAGGCTTACGTCGAAAAATATTCGATGATAATTGCTACTAATCTTACTTCTATCTGTACTTCCATGATATTTTTATTTGTTTTATATACAATGCACTTAAAACGACGTTAAATCCTTCCGAGCATAGAGAGCCGAAACACCTGCCGGCCTACTAATCGGCGTTTTATGCTTTGTACATAAACCAAATAAAAAATATTTTAAGTATCAAATATATACGAATGCGTTGAAAAAAATCGATGATTATAGGTTGTAATATCTGAATGATTTGTTTAGAACTTAATTGATTTTTTTACGATTCGAGTTAAATATTGCAACTTTCCGAATTTGTACAGACGCTACGTTCTTCGCTTTAAGTCGTTTAAGACGCAACAGATAGAAGTAAGATTAGTAGCAATCATCATCGAATTTTTTTCGACGTTAGCCTATACCCCTTTTCATTTTTCGCGAACACTCCCTTTAATGTTATATAAAAAACACTAACACACAATAAGCCCTCATTATCTTGTTCACTTGTTTACATATTTATGATTTTCTCATTAAAAAATCTTTTAAATTTTTTTTTAGTCCAGTAGATTAATCTGTAATAATCCAAAGCAATTTTAGGTTTATGTACAATTGTACAATGTACATAAAAACTTATTTTTTCAAATTATCGAAATTATTATTAATATAGTATATACAATTAAAGTAAAAAGTAAAGAAGTGAAAAAAGTGCAGGGCAGTTCATTTTTATAATAAAGTACAGTACAGTGCAATACAACAGAGTACAATGCAATCCAATGTATTTTCTTACAGTTTATTACATACGGTACAGTACATAAGTACAGAGTACAGGAAACTGAAGTGAAAATCATGAACCACATTACCTCGAGGAAATATTGAGATCTTTCTTTTCTATTTCAACCGAACCATTACTATACGTTCTAAATAAATCAATTTTCTTTGGTTTTTTTTGTATAAACAATTTGCAAAATTTTAACATCAGAATAAATAATCTGAAGTTAATGTTACAAATTCAAAAAATGATGTTATCACAATGATAAAATCTAATTTATTCCTTGCTGCTCCTTTTGGGGGAATCTTTATTCTGAAGTTGCCTGTTAACAACAAATTCTTAAGATTTTTCAACCAAAAATGTAAAACACATTATTGGGTTAGAACAGAATATTTCATATGAAACGAAACCTCGAATATGTGAATCTAAAAATGTAAAAAAAGACAGTAAATAAGTTAAAATAGTATTTAAATTCTAAAATTTAAACAAATCCAACATGGTAAGAACAAATTCAAGGCAAAACCTAAATCAAAGCAAATAAAATAAAATAACAAGGGGTAGGGATGGCATGAGACTCCAATCTAAAATAACAAGGGGTAGGGATGGCATGAGACTCCAATCTAAAATAACAAGGGGTAGGGATGGCATGAGACTCCAATCTAAAATAACAAGGGGTAGGGATGGCATGAGACTCCAATCTAAAATAACAAGGGGTAGGGATGGCATGAGACTCCAATCTAAAATAACAAGGGGTAGGGATGGCATGAGACTCCAATCTAAAATAACAAGGGGTAGGGATGGCATGAGACTCCAATCTAAAATAACAAGGGGTAGGGATGGCATGAGACTCCAATCTAAAATAACAAGGGGTAGGGATGGCATGAGACTCCAATCTAAAATAACAAGGGGTAGGGNAAAGCCAAAGCCAAAGCCAAAGCCAAAGCCAAAGCCAATGCCAAAGCCAAAGCCAAAGCCAAAGCCAAAGCCAAAGCCAAAGCCATAGCTTAATGCCAAATGCCAATGCCAATGCCATTGCCAATGCCAATCCCAATGCCAATGAGCTAAGTTGAGGCGAGGGCCACGAGGCTACTGAATGTGAATATATTGCACCTTGACGAATATTCTGTTAAGACTAAGGTTGTGTCGGATAGAGTTCTGGAATCCTGTTTTGTTCTCGTTGAAGAGAGGATACCTCTCCAGGATCCACTCATAGATCTCAGTCAGCTTCAGCATGTTGTTCGGGGAACTAAACACAAATCAAATTGGAAAATAAAAAATTTTGCTATGAGATTAGTATTGTTGTGAAATATTCTCCTCAAATCAAGGAGTGGATACAGGGTGACCCACAAAGGATGAGGCTTCATAGACGACTGTACGGAGTCTTTTAAGTAACTTTTTAATACATCCAAGCTTCCCTGCATTTAAAGACAAACGATTTAGTAAACAATTAAAAGACTTTATTACAGGCAGAAGAACTTAAAAATTCATATCATGATGTTAAGATAGCTTTGTGTCGTCTTTTTAGTCTAATCCTTAGAGGGTAACCCTGTACAATGTAACCATACCCCAGAACCAGATAGGCAAACAAGGCAAAACATTAAACAAAAAGATCTGTTTTCTCTCCAATTAAGAAAATGTTTAGATTCCAGAAAAATGAAAGGTACAACTAAGTGACCTAATTGCTTCTCTAATTTCGATTTTAACGCTATAATGAAAAGTTTTTTTTGTTGTATCATCTTAGAAATCAAAACTTTTTTTCTTCTTTTAGATAGGTCTTCAATTTACTGCTTTTGTTTACAACCTTTGTTTTTGTGATGTTCCAACACGCCATCCAGTCGGACTTGTAGCGCTACCAGTCAGAATAATAATGTTGTTCCAATGATATTATTGATATTATTCCAAAAAAGGAATGATTATTTTAGGAACTTGAAAATATTTCTTTCCAACCTTGAATAAGAAAATGAGCCCCTGAATTAACCTGAGTATTGCTGATATGATGAGCTTCTTGTAGGAAACCTTGGTGGTCTTTACCTTCCTCTGCTGATACTTCCTGAACACAAACAAAAGTTTATGAGCAGAGAAAATACAAGAAAAAAATCAGTGGGAACTCTTGTATTGTGGAGATCAATGCATGCTCTCCATCTTTTGTTAATCTGCAGATTAATTAACTCTTTATTCGATATCCCGCATGGTAATCCTAATTCGTACCAAGTCAGGGGTTGAAGAGAGCTTTGATTAGGGAAGAAAAAACTAAAATGAAGATATGAAAAGGTTTAGTTTTTTTAGATCTTCAAATAGAAGTGCCCAATAGTGGATATTGAGATCAAGTAATTTGGATTATGAGTATCCAATGAAAACTTCCCAGCTCAGAATGTTTATTGGTTATGGAGGCAATATTGCTCATGGAGGCAATATTGCTTATGTAGGCAATATTGCTTATGGAGGCAATATTGCTTTTGGAGGAAATATTGCTTATGGAGGAAATATTGCTTATGGAGGTAATATTGCTTATAGAGGCAATATTGCTTATGGAGGCAATATAAAAAAAAACATAAAAGATGATATTACATTTCAGGAGAAAACACCAAAATAACAAACAAAATTAAGATTGAGAAGGTTAAAAGTTCAATGTAACAGTTTACAAAGGGTTTTCCGTTAATATATATTCTAAGGACGAACTTCCTAGTTGGCATGTAAGCAATGTTAAAAATACGGGTTATACCAGGACTAAAGGGTCCGGATCAAATCAAATCAAATCAAATCAAATCAAATCAAATCAAATCAAATCAAATCAAATCAAATCAAATCAAATCAAATCAAATCAAATCAAATCAAATCAAATCAAATCAAATCAAATCAAATCAAATCAAATCAAATCAAATCAAATCAAATCAAATCAAATCAAATCAAATCAAATCAAATCAAATCAAATCAAATCAAATCAAATCAAATCAAATCAAATCAAATCAAATCAAATCAAATCAAATCAAATCAAATCAAATCAAATCAAATCAAATCAAATCAAATCAAATCAAATCAAATCAAATCAAATCAAATCAAATCAAATCAAATCAANAATAATCTTAAGGATAAATAAAGAAGAGGAAGATAAATGAATAAAAATTTAAATACTTTTAAGGATAAATAAAGAAGAGGAAGATAAATGAATGAAAATTTAAATAATTTAAAGGATAAATAAAGAAGAGGAAGATAAATGAATAAAAATTTAAATAATTTTAAGGATAAATAAAGAAGAGGAATATAAATGAATAAAAAAGAGGAAGGTCAAATGAATCACTGAATGAATAAATAAAAGGAATAATAAAAGGATGGATAAATTGAATGAAAGATGAATTTGCTACCTGGGAGATATTGTTTGAATCCTGGGAATGATCTTCGTCACTATCCATACACACTTCTAGAATACAGAAAATACAGGTTTAAGTTTTTGGTCTTCGAAGGATGATAAATGATTTTGAGGCCTTTGATGTTCCACTATGGTCCTTAATCATCTAATGAGAAATTGAGTAAAGAAAACTTAATTTCCTTCAATTTACCTACAAAACTGGAAAGAGCAGTTTCTGTGTTGTCTGAATTATCTCCGAACATTTTATCTCTCTCGTCAGCACTGAAATAATTTCATTAAGTTAACAATTTATCTCTCTCGTCAGCACTGAAATAATTTCATTAAGTTAACAATTTATCTCTCTCGTCAGCACTGAAATAATTTCATTAAGTTAACAGTTTATGTAAGCAAAACTGTCTTAGAAATGATCTGAGAGATAAGGAGCTCTGCTCCAGTCGTGGCCTTTTTAAAAAGCTTTTTAATTTGCAACAAAATTTATAAAAAAAAAGAATCAGATTATAGGAACATAGTCTGAACCAAGGTAGGTAAGGCCATAAGAGAATTTTGTATTCAGAATACACCAAATTCCGTTATATACAATAAACTCATTTTCGGTGGCTGTACAATTTGTAATTTGTTATTTGTAAACAAACGCAACTGACACTGGACTTGAACCCAGTATTCAAACCTTAGTCGCAGTCCAGAATTATATAGTTACACATTTAAACAAAAAATTTTGAAAAAATTCGCCCAAAAAGTTTATATCAATAGATTTAGGTTCCCCCTCTCCAACTCCGCCCTATGCCTGGGCTGCTCCCCCACCCCCCCTCTCATGTCGAAATTGTAAATTATTGTTTCGACATAAGTCTAATTAAATTGAATATAAACAGACCACTAACCCAGTTTTTAGCCAACAAAACCGAGTTCATAGTGTACTCCAGAATGAATGTACAGTAAATTAATTCTCCTATGGCCTACCGTTGGTCTGAACTTTGAAGTGACCAGCTATTTAAAAAAGCGTTGCATTCACAACGGCATTACTAAAACTAAAACTAAAATATTCTGTCTTTTAACGGGTAAATTTTCAAAATTTTCTCATTATTTGGAGAATAAATCACTTTTAAACAGAATTGTAATTAACTAGTTTTTAGTTAGAAAAGTAAGAATATCTACTTCTTGATTGATCAGACAATGAATTAAATTATAAATATCGTTGTGATTGTAAATACTCAATACATAGAAGATGACTTGAAACTACATCTACAGACCCTGTTTAATTTGCAAGTAGTTTCGTCAAACTTCGTTTATTTTACAAGTAGTTTCGTCAAACTTCGTTTATTTTGCAAGTAGTTTCGTCAAACTTCGTTTATTTTACAAGTAGTTTCGTCAAACTTCGTTTATTTTGCAAGTGGTTTCGTCAAACTTCGTTTATTTTGCAAGAAGTTTCGTCAAACTTTGTTTATTTTGCAAGTGGTTTCGTCAAACTTTGTTTATTTTGCAAGTGGTTTCGTCAAACTTTGTTTAATCAAAGACACTTAGAGCTCAAAGAGCAAAATTGGGAAACCTTAACAATCAAACGTTAAAATCTATTTTATCCATGATTTTAATACTCATCTACCTGAGATTAGAGGCCATCTCCAGTTTAAGTTTGAGACAGCATTCACAAGGAGAAGTTCCACATCCGGCAGTTTCTCCAGGAGTAGACGGAACCAGGGTAAAACAATCTCTACTTCTAGAGATTAACTAATCAGCTTACTAATGTACTTCTAGAGATTTATCAGCTTACTAATCTACTTCAAGAGATGAACTTATCAGCTTACTAATCTACTTCTAGAGATTAACTTATCAGCTTACTAATGTACCTTCTAAAGATTAACTTATCAGCTTACTAATCTACTTCAAGAGATGAACTTATCAGCTTACTAATCTACTTCAAGAGATGAACTTATCAGCTTACTAATCTACTTCTAGAG